CAGGGTGTGGGGTTCTGGTAGCTGTTGAAAGGTAGGCTGGGCCAGATTTGAGGGATGAAAGGTGTGAGGAAGGCTCCTGCTGCCTTGGCAGTGAAGTATCCGAGGAAGTTGGCGGTTGAAGAAACCTTGGCGTAGAGGCTAGATCCGGTTGCTTCCATGGTTGTGCATTCTTGAAGGAAGGCCGTGGGGCGGATATGGATGACGCCCTTACCGCGAACCTCTTCGTGAATGGGTTGGTCATGCTCGTCAACCTCAGTAATAGTGCAATAGAGAGTGGTCGTGGCCTTCCAGAGGTTGAGGGGGTTGAATACGACGTCCGAGTTAACAACCTTGTAGCCGTTGAAATGCAACTTCTTGCCATCCTTTTGTGAGATCAGGAAGTTGTAAGTCAGGTTGGTGGTATCAGGCGATCTCGGGTCGTCGTTAAACAAGTTGAACTTGCCACCCTGAACCATAGACGTACCACCAAGAGCGGGGCACGTAAAGGTACCGGTTAGATTGGCCTCGTGTTCCTTGTCGTGGACGACTAAATGTACTTCTGTAAGCGCTGGAAAGTCCTCGCAAGTATAGATGAAGACTTACGGCTGTGAGTGTTCCATGACCTGGCGCTGAGGAAGAAACGGGCATATTCGCCCCGGCTTTTAGCAGTCAAGGTAGCCCTTTGGAAATCTAATGTCTTGGAATCCTCTCCAAAGTGGATCCATCCGTCCATGGTCTCGGTGAAGGCGATACCAGGAGTCATGTCATCTCTGGCTGTGTTGATGATTTCTTGCACTCTGGCCACAGGCGGGTGTTCGCCCTCGAAGGGGTCATGTGCCGGCTTCCCAAATAGGTTTAGAGAGCCTGGGGTTGTTCAGCACAAGTCAGACAGATTGAACCTTGGATTGAGGAACCAAAGATACTTACCGTTCTTTGTCTTAAGATCGACTTTAATATGGAAGTCATCCGCGATCTTCTCAACAGATCTCTCTGCGAGGGCTGTAATTGTCGCGAAAGGATTGACACCAAGAGCCGCAGGAACAATGGTTCCATCGCAAACGACCAAGCCCTCATGGACCTCACCTTCAGTGCCCTTGAACAGCTGGCCTTTGTGGTTCACGCCACCGCTGGCGCCAGTTCCGTCGCTGCTGATACGAGCACCACCACTAGCCAGATATTAGCCAGCATTTCAACTTGTAAAAAACATTTCATCTTACATGGCATGGACAGTGATCTCCTTCTCGCCAAATGCGGCATAGAATGGACTGTCGACGTAGATTCCGCCGATCAGGTTGGTCAGCTTGGCCAAGTAGCCCGCCAGCTTCTTGGCTCTGTGCGACTTGCCAACACCAGAGAAGTTGATGAGGGGTCTGTCCTTGTCAAGCTGCATGGTTGCTTGACTACCTGAAATGACCTAATTAGACCAGTTACTGCGAAATGCGGTCAGAAAGACTTACTGTCGTGGGACATGATGAGATAGCACTGCGTCTTCTCGGTGCTTCCATCGGGGAAATAGGGACCGAAGAAGCGGCTGCCAACGGCTGCAGTTACATGGCCGACTGCACCCTTAATGGAGATGTTATCAGGGAACACTCTGCCGGGCAAATATGTGAGCATTGCCTGGTAGAAGGGCGCGAGGGCGGCAGGAATAGCACCCTCCTCAACGACGAAGCCATCAAGTGGGTTGTCCAGGCCCTTCCGGCAGTCGATAATACCGGTGATACACGGTCCGACGGGACGGTTTGGAGGAGGGTCTTCGCGTCCCATGCCGTTGACATACTCGCTAGTGTTGTAGCTTTACGATGGAATTAGTAGACTGCACTCTCGAAGAAGGCATCTTCCACCTACCCGAATGCAAGGATATCACCATTGCCACTCATGCCGTGTCCGACATCCGGGCTCATGTCCAAGCCAAACTGTTTGCTGCGGAGCAGGATCTCGGTAGTTCCGATGCTACCAGCGCCGAAGAAAACCAGCTCTTTGGCATGAACCCACATCAGATCCTCGTAAAAGAGGTCCTTAAAATTGGCGCGCTTTCCACCGTGCCATGCAAAGTGCACGATGTAACCCTCGCGATCCTTCGCCTTGGTGACATAACGGACCTCACACTGACAGAACATTTCGGTACCCCAGTTCCAGGCGTCACTGAGATAGTTTACCAGCGTTGTAGACTTGCTGCCGTCGTTGAGACCGGTAGTGTCTTGGCCACTGAGCGTAGAGGCTCGCATGTAGACACCGGTGCTGTTCTCGCCATCCTCGAAGCGGGTGGTCTGGGGTACACGGTCGAACTTCTCGCTCCAACCCATGAGCTTGGCCTGCTTCTCGAGTGTCTCCAGCTTGTGTAGCTTGGGGAAATCCTTTGGGTACTTCTTAGGCTCCAAGACACCGGCGGCGCGCTTGTAATCTGTGTTGCAGAAAGTTAGCGTCTTTACGAAGTTTCTGTATGACAGGGAGGCTAAAAGTCACATTTCTTCAATTCTCCTGCATCTATCTCCTTGGGCCAAATAGGCAGGTTGAGAACCCCTTCGTCTGCTTCGAGGAAGACGTTGGCGTTGAGCAAACTTGTGCCGCCCAAGCCATTGCCGACGAAGGCGTTTTGACCATCTCCAACAATGAGATGGTAAAGGCCAGTCGGATCACCACCGGTGCCCAACTTTCCAAGAGCACCGAGAAGACCATCCGTCGCCGCGTTCGTAGTGTGAAGCTCCTTCACGGCTGGGATGATCTCGGAAGGGAACTCTCCGGGCCACTTCTCCTTACCGCGCTCGAGCAAGCAAACCTTCTTGTTGCCACGCGCCATGCGGCTGGCGGCGACGGCGCCACCATATCCGGAGCCGATGACAACAACGTCATAAGACGGGCGGATCAGCTCAACGGGGCGGGAGATACGCGGGTATGCGCCAGTCACAGGGTCGAATGTGTCGCCGGCCTGACGGTATCCCTCGCGGGGCTCCGTGGCTGGATAGGGGGTGTCGAAGGACTCTGTGTAGTCAGGCTCGATTCGACCGTTGGACTCGCCGTTGAGACCGTTAGTCTGTTGATGGTCGTAACCGTTGAGCTCCGCTGTGCCCTCCATCACGATTTTGTTCTTAGTAGTAGCTTCTTGTCGTCAAAGAGCGCTAAGGACTTCCAAGTGCCGCTCTTCTAAATGACAGAAGGAAGAGTCGGATACCTTACGTATACACTCGATCTTCCTGGCCGTCTGGTGGATGATGGCTTAGTCTTATAAGGTCAAGCGCCGGCAAGTATCTACGGTCCGCAGCGGCTCCCCCAGACGGACAAGGTCAGTCAACGCATTCCTATCGACGACAGCCTGTGTGCAAAACTTCCTCTCAACGGTAGACAGGGTCCTCGCGACTTTCACATGCTTTCCTGACATTCAAAATGTTGACTGCTTCATCTTCCCATGATATGACCGGATCCTGATAGTCTCACTCGGCTGCGACGGAAGAATGTTCGCAATCATCCGAGAGACACTTCGTTGTGGTTGTTGATGGGGTAACTAGCCTTATGCCTCCATGTGGTTGGAGTAGGAATTGTCGTTGAGGGTGTAAACAATTACACAACGTCTCTCAATGTGGCTTGCTTGAATATGTTTTTGCAAGACACTCATCAGAGGTGGCATGTGCTTGCTGAAGGCAAAAGTAAGCCGAGCGACAACTTCATCGAGCATGTAAACCAGTCGAGAACCCCAATTCTATCGGTGAAAGTCTCAAAGGTTGAGGACTGGTAGCTCTTGAAATTGAGTCGTGGCGATTGGAGGTTGGGCACTTATGTTCACTAAATCTGAAAGACGACGTTGAATTCAGAATGATTAGGTGTTTGCCGCTGGCTTTTTGCGAGAGTTCTGCGAACTTGCATTTCCTAACGGGCGCTGAGACTATTTGCACACTAGTTCAATACCACCACATGCAGGGCAATCTCCACCGGGAGGGCGCAGCCGTGATAGGGCATACCGGCAGAAGATCGCATTTCAACGAGGGCTCTGCTTTTCGATTCATGCTAGTCAAGCTAGTCAAGCTAGTCCCCAGTGTGATGTGACTGTAGCCCAAAAGGTCTGATGATTGGTCGGCTTCCCACCAGGAGTCTCACTAGATGCCGGAGTGCTAGACGGGCAACTGAGACTGACCAGCTGCTTCTTTTCCATTTGGAGGGTAGAAGGTCGCGATAAACCGGCGAAATATTGCATGCTCTTGCCTTCACCCTATTGGCTCGGGATGCTTATCATCTTGCCTTAGTAGACAATCCAGAATGTGAGAACGCATGCAGACGGACGGAAAGTCTAGCGGCCCGCAACCGGGTCGAAAGCGGATTTGGGGTAGCCATTCTTCAGAAAGCATGCGTAAAGCGTGCGTAAACAGGACAGCATGCAGGTGGGGATAACTCCGAGCTTCACAGCTCCGATAATGTCTCAGACAAGACATTGGTGATCGTCCGACTAGCTTTCAGCTTGTCAGTGCTAGCTTTGCAATTGTCTTGAGGGGCCATGTCAAGGGATGTCTGACATACCAAATCTCACACTCAGCCCTGAGGCGTTCGGATCTGTAGCGAGTTCAGGGTCAGAAAGCCATCTGTGCCGTCTTCAGTCTAACACTGCTCCAGTTGTTGGGAATCGTCGCGGGGAGAAATGTAGTGGAAACTCTGATCCTGCCCTGCAATCATAAGAGCAAAACCACTGGGACCACGGAAACTTCACTTTCAAGCCTCAATCATTCGATCACTATAGAAAGCATTCAAGTTACGGCGCGGCATGTGAAAACACTTGTTACTATCAGCATGTGATAGTAAGACACCAAGGATTGCCTGAAGTTCCTCCCTGGTGGCCATCACATTTGGCATTTTAGGGCATCAGGAAAGCCTCAACAGTCCTAAACGTTGAAGCCTCTCCAGACTTCAGATCACATTTCAAGGGAATTAAAAGTAGTATTTGATCCAGCTACCCGGCAGCATCGCGGCTACTCGATGTCATTTCTAGTAACAACTTATTCCATCGAGACTATTAGCCGCACGTGCCTCTAAAGATGGCGGCAGTCGAAGTCACCTACTCTCTTCCGAAGGATGTCAACGAGAAGAAGCTAGAGGTCCGGACCGGCTCGGACATTCGCCTCCGTAAAGAGAACCGCGGAGCAGACGTAACATGGAACGGCACCGACCCCTTCCTTAAGCAGCCTTACTACTACACAGGTGCTCCCTGGACCCTTCTCGCAAGCGACTTGCTCCTGTTCTGCAAGAACATTGCTTTCCTACCATGCATTGTCCTACCACTCTGGTCGCAGCCCCCGGCTCGCTCCTTCAACCTCGGAGTCGACAACCGATTCAAAGAGCAGCCTCGATTTCTCGTGAGCCAGCTCCACCGACGCTTCGAAGCATGGGCTCAACGCTACTTCCACTCTGGACCCATGGACGAGCTGTACCCCTCTTGGAACAACATTCGTGACATCATTTTCCACTCCATTCTCATCGTCACTCAATCAGCCTTCTTGATCTCCCTTCCTTTCCTCTCCTTCTTCTCCTTTAACATCTTTGTTGCCTACGTGGGTCTTTTCATCGGCATCAACTATTTGGCGGGCATCGGGCTCAATGGCTGGATGCCTGAAGGATTTATCTGGTCGGCCGACACTCTCGCAGCGCGAGAGTGGGAACTGAATCACCCCGAGGAAGAGTGGATTTTCCTCAACGGTGTTGCTGTTGGGTAAGGACTTTTGGCCTCAAAACACTCATTGCATGAACTAAGCATACCTCTACAGCAAGAACTGGCTCCAGAGCAACATTGACCGAATTTCCGTTACTTTCCATCGAAGAGTGAAAGGTGTTCACAACAAGACGTAAGTTAGAAGATTCTATGCTATCGGGACACACACTGACATTGTTTACCAGTGCTGGCATCATCTTTGATGTGATCCAATGCCTCCTAGAGCGCTGCCTCTATTTCGGTACCACCGATACCCGAGTCTGTTTCTCGCACATTTCCACCGCCCTGCTCAACCAAGACAAGAAGAAAGTCATCCTCATTCTCCACTCTCAAGGTGGACTGGAAGGAAGCATCATCCTGGACTGGCTCATCAACCAACACCCCCGTGAAGTCCTGCAAAAGCTTGAGATCTACACCTTCGGCAACGCCGCGAACCACTTCAACAACCCCCGCACCAAGAGGGACCACGGCATTCCCAGACCCAAGGGTCGTGCCATCCGCCACATCGAGCACTACGCCAACTCGAAAGACTTTGTCTCTCGGTGGGGTGTCCTGCATTTCAAGAAGCAGACTGCCAAACGAGATGGACGCTTCCTCGGTCTTGGTGAGATTGCCGGTCTCATCTCCGTCAATAAGAAGACAGAAGTCATCAAGGCCGTGGGCAAGACTGAGCCGAAGCAGGCGAACCACCTAAGTCCTGACTGGAACGAGTTTGAGGGTGCGCTTATTGAGCGACCTGGTTCAGGTCATCAGTTCAACCAGCACTATCTTGACAACATCTTTCCTCTTGACACTAATTTGAGCAAGGTTCAAACAAATGGAGATGGTTCGCCCCTCCCGGGCACCTTCATGGCGTCCCGCACCAAGGTTCACAATGATCCTTGGAAGATTGATGAGCAGCGCAATCTCACGAACGGGGTTGATGGTACTGCTCACCATTACCTCAACGGTGTGGTTGAAGGACCCAAGGTGTATGAGATCAGCCGGCTTTGGAAGTTTGTCAACGGCCGACGACCAGAGGACTACTCTTGAGAAGACCCGTGAGCTGTTACCCCAGAGAAGAGCAGCTTATTAGGTACATGTCGGTCAGACTAGCGTTAAGTAAGGTAGTTTCGGATAACTACCGATAATATTTAAGTAATTGGAACGCTTCTGTAGACCTATTCAGATATGTAAATCTTTAATAGCAAAATAGTGGTTGATATTTGGCCGGTCGCTATGACCCGACTATGCACAGTTGATATCTAACACGAAGTCCCAGAGTCTTTCGCTGACTATCTAAGGTAGGAGACCTTCTCGATTCCACTTGCGCGTTGCCTGCCACGGTCTTGCACCCTGCCTCACGGCATATGATCATTGTGACGAAGCTCTTTGCCGCTTATGGTCATCCGAATCATCGACATCGGACCCGGCTGCTCTCTTATTGCTGCTCTCCTGGCCACCAGTCTCTTCGCCACCGGATCCAGACCCAGACCCGGATCCTTTGCTCTTCTCCTCATTGCTGAAGGACTCGTAATCCTCCGAGTCGGATGTAACTGAAACCTCTTCAGATGTTTGATCTTGTTGAGGCTCTTGACTCTGCTGCTGCTGCTGCTGTGCTTCCGTTACCTCTTGCTCGACACGTGTCTTCACCATGGCTTTGGCCGTCGACTCTCCTTCCGACCCGCTCTCATCTCTTATCGCATGCGGAGAGATCTGGCTCATCAACCTTGCCTGCATCGCACTCTCGCCGGCCTGCTAGACAGTCAGTAGCCACCATTCAGGGCAACACACTCTCGAACACATACTGGAGACAGAATGCCCTCCAATATACTTTATGTCTGGGATGGGATCGCTGCGACGGGAATGGGAGGATAGAACAACTCACAACCAAGGTGACCGTGTTTCTCAAAGCGTCAGACTCCCTCCGAAGCCGAGCCCTCTGCTCTGGAGATAATTGAGGAGTCTCAACATCGAACGGTCCACGAACCCTTGTGGGGTCGGAGGTCCCCGTAGATCCCGAAGCACCGTGATTGCCACTCATATTTATGGTCCAATTACCGCTTCTCGATAGTGAAGTCGACGTTCCGGATGTTTGGTTTCCTGCCTCAGTATACCTACGAGACACCCGTATCCGATACTGGACTGATACGAAGCCATCGCTCGCAGCGAGTTCTTATACATGTTGCCATAAACACCTGCACTACTCTATGCTTGGAATCCTACTGCGATACCCGACCTTTGGACTCTCAGCTACGTGCAAACAGTCTTCTTTCAAAAATGAGTCCTTTCACGATCTTACCGCCCGGCCAAGCGCTGGACTCGCGAGGCAGAGCCTTTGATCAGTTCTGCCGTCAGCTCGTTTTTTACACCCGTGAGGTGACTATTCAACTTTCCAATTTCTTTGGCTAATAATAAAGCGAAACTGATCACAGTGTGGTGGGCGGTGAAGTACATCAAGCCCAAAAGAACAAACACAGTGTACCGACAAACAGAAAGTCCGGCTTTGAGTGCCAACCAGACTTTCCATGATCAAGGGGGAAGCATGTCACACTTTTCTTTAACAAAGGACCAAGTTCCGACAATGAGGTCTTCGAATCGTATTCGAGATGGCTGTGAGGCGGCAGCTTCATCCTCATTGGAGCGATACCCGCCAACAAGCGAGGGTTGCACGACTCCATCGCTTATGGCGACACCGCCAAGATACTATCCTGTAGCACAACCGAGTAACGAGTATAACGATGGGTTCCAATCGATGATGAGGTAGGTAGAGTCCTATCCGCAACAGTACCAATGTATTGCAAAAACATCGACTACTTCTGCGGTTCGTGTGTGTCAATACTTCAACTCACGTCGCAATTCTCCATCTTGCGACCATGTAATGTTGCGGTGTCGTAGCCGGCAATAACGCGGCATACACATCGGCGCCATGATTACCGGCTCTCCAGCATCGCCGACTTCGCTCCGACGAACGACCCTCCAATTACCATGTATAAGATCATAAAAAACATCAAACATCAACCAGAGCACATCAAGCTGCAACATACACTCCTCCCAAGCCAAATGACGTCATCATGGCAACCCTCAGCACCGCAACGTGGATAGCCTCACTCACCTACAACGACCTCCCTCAGGGCGTTAAAGAAGCAGCCGTACGCTCCTTCTACAACTGGGTCGGCTGCGCCATCGGCGGAAGCTCTCATCCGACAACCCTGACGGCAACCAAAGCCCTCTCGCCCTTTTTCGGAAAGGAAACTTCTTCAGTACTTGGATTCGATCGTCGCATCGATGCGCAACACGCTGCTCTCATCAACGGTATCGCGTCGCATGTCCACGATTACGATGACACGCATCTCGAGACGATTGTTCATCCGACTGGATGCGTCGCGTCCGCGCTGCTGAGTTACGCAGAGACGCTGCAGCGCCCGGTCACGGGGGAGGAATTCATCACGGCATTGGTCGCCGGCATCGAGGTTGAGTGCAAGCTAGCCTTGGCCGTATACCCAGAGCACTATGATATCGGATGGTACCCTCCTCTCACTCTTCCCAGTTCACATAATTGCGGCGGCTAACACTTCTTCAAGGCACATCACAAGCACAACAGGCTCCATCGGCGCCGCCGCCGCCATCGCAAAACTCCTCGCCCTCCCGGCAGACAAAACAGCCCACGCCATCGGCATCGCCGCAACGCAAGTCACTGGCCTACGCGAGATGTTTGGCTCTGACACGAAATCCTTTCACGTCGGACGCGCCGCTCAGAATGGGCTTCTTGCTGCCGTCTTAGCTGCAGAAGGATTCACGAGTTCACCCAAGGTGCTGGAAGCTGAGCGGGGCTGGGCCAAGGTCGTCAGTACAAAGGAAAACTTGAATGAGCTTGTTCAGAGTCTTGGACAGGGAGGACCGGGGAAGTGGGAGATTGAGAAGAATTCGTTCAAGCCTTTTCCGTGTGGCATCGTTATCCATCCGGTTATTACGGGCGCTGTATGGTTGCATCATGAACTGAAGAGACGAGGCATCTCCACGGAGGAGGTCGCGAGCGTCGACGTGACGGTTCATTATCTTGTGCTCGAGCTCACTGGTAAGAAAACACCAAAGGATGGTCTTGAAGCCAAGTTCAGCGTTTACCACGGCGGCGCGGTGGGCTTGTTGTATGGGAGGGCGACTGTAGTGGAGTACGAGGACGGGCTTGTCACCAGCGCGCCTGTTGTTAGCTTGAGAGACCGTTTCAAAGCTACAGTTGACGAGTCTATGAAGGCCGATGAGTGTCATTTGGTGGTCAAGCTGCGCGGTGTCCAGGAACCGATTGAGAGGCACGTCGACCATGCCCTTGGAAGCGTTGAGGTGCCCATGTCTGATGACCAGCTGACGGAAAAGTTCATCACGCAGGCAACCCTTCAAGTTGGTGCGGAAAAGGCAGAGAAGGCAAGTCAGTGGTGTTGGGGTGTGGTTGGATCCGGGGACATGAGAGAGCTTGGAGGGATTGTCTAGCTTCAATTGGTAGTTTGCCTTCCATGGTTCAGCACTCACCTATTGACCCGAGTGCCTGAATTACCTCGATGATTTGGCTAGCAAAGTAACTCTTCATGTTCTATTGGCAAGACCAAGGGCCAAAGCGGCCCGTTCTCTAGTAGATACAAGCTTTTTACCTCTCCTTTGAGAAGACAATGAATGCAACGCTGCATTTGTACACAGTCTCAGTGCCAAGAAGGCATACGCAAGTGCTCGTGAATATCTCCAATCAGAACAATGACTCTTCTAGCACAATGGCCGGAAACCAGAGTATCTCGTTTCCCCATCCCAAAGGCCTGCCGTATGTGAACCCTTATCTTGCATTCCCAAAGTGAAGGCACCATCCTGCAGCATTGCCCGTTGAGTGCATCTGGGCTTAGCGCACAGTAACGTTAATAGGGCTCACGGTTGGCGAATGGAAGGCCCAGTTAGTTGAAGTGAAAATCGAGACCCTCGGATATGTCCACGCGTTCGGGCCAGACCCAGTCGTCGGCCACAGAAGATTCAGAAAGCTCCGAGTTTTCTTCTGGAATGGTCTCCAGATGGCTGCAGAGAGGCTCCCACTCCATAGACGAGCCAGAGGTATCTGTCGAAGGAGAATCGTGGCTAGCATCGATCTCGACCTGGTTGCAGCGGTACATCATCATGCGCTGAGCCCTCTCGGTCTGGTAGTAAGTCTCGGCATCCATGAACTTGATGTTACTCTCATCATCTGCGTCGTAGGCAATATCGTCGACGATGCTTGGCAAAATCTCCTTGTTGGGCGTGGATGAACCCCAGGTGGTGAATTCGAGCTGGTCCTAGTGAGTTTCCAGCCGGTCAGCTCAAGCCACAGTGTAATTCTTTGAATCTCTGATAACTTTAGTGAGAAAGGAATGGGAATATCATCATACTTGGTTCTCTGGGATCTTGGAGTCATCTCTCTTGCAGCCCTGCTTGGGGTGGTCCCTGGTCTGACGGGGCAAAGTATTCTGAGTGGTCTTGGCTAGAGACTCTGGGTCATTTGAATTTCCAGTATGGCCGTTTGAGGTCTTCTCGGGGCTGTGGACTCGGGCCTTTTTCGTGCAAGGCTGAGGGGCGAGATCATTGTGTGTGTCGGACATGGTCTTGTTCTTGGATGCCATTTTGCGCAGTTGATGCGAAGGAAATGCGTTGCTTGCTCAAGTTGAAATGCAGAGGAGCTGTAATAGTAATTGGGATGAAAGTGAGGAAATGCTGGTATGTTGTAGTGGAAAGTGTGCGCGATGAGTGCATTGGTGGGATATGGATGAGGCGAAGGTTGTGATCATTCCATCTTCGGTGGAAAAGATGTGGGGCATCACTTTGCCGGCTCCCAAGAAAAGGTCAGAGGTACGCTGGACTGCTGCACGTGACGCAGGATTTCAATGAAAAGGTGGGAAGGAGCTGCCTAGGGAAGTAGCTGTCGGGAAAGGGAAGGAAGCAAAAAGAGGAGAGTATAAGCATGCCCTACCTACCTACAACTTGTCCACGAAGCTGTCTCATTTCAGTGGGCATAGCTTATACGATTGAACGTAAGGTAAAAT